GTGAACGAGATGCTCCCCCCACCCCACCCCTCAAATGGAGCCCTGGCAGATCCTCTGGAACAGATTGTTGATGTTTGCAGACAAACATATGAACCTGGCATCCCATCAGGCCTCATCATCATTAAGCAGCTAGTACAAATCACCAGGCAGGCCAATTCAGCTGCTCCTCATTAGTCACAACAAAACAGTGACACATGCGAAGCACACACTTTTGTGTTTGTGTGGGTGCTCGTGCGCTCGTGCCCATGATGCTCACATATATTTGCGCCAAGGCGATCTATGTGCAAGCAAACAGACACGAACCAGTTCATGATTACTTTGAAAAGCATGACTTAAAGCTCAGAACGGTTTACTGCCATCGCAGTGACGATTGTAAATACAAATCAAGGTTGAACGTTCAAGAAGCTTTTACTTTTTATGCAGAGCACTTCCACGTGTTTAACTAGAATGCCAATGTGGTTGTTTTTCCACTCAAAAGTGAGTAATATGCTGTCAATAGCAGTGCCACCAAGGAACAATAAACACGGCTAAAGCCCACAGGGGGAACAGGCACTTACAGAGAGCCACCTCAGCACAGAAGCTTATTGGTCTACATCTTCTCGGATCGATAGATGGAGCTGAGTGTTATCAATAATTGGGTCTTACAAGAACTACCCATTTAAAAAACACACATTTTCAGTGACATGCAATCATGCGTACAGAAGAAATGCACGCACATACCCAGATGCTGCTATTGTTTAGGGATTCCTTCCTTCTGGCGTTGCTGCTATTCAGACGCTATCTGTGGAATTTGGAAGGTGCAAATGAATAAGTAAACATGTGCTTTCCTGAGGGAGAGCTTCTCACGGCTGCTGTAGCATGTAGTCAACCACAGAGCATAGCTGTGCCGCAGGGCTACAAGGATAAGGAGGTATGTAACCCAGATCCTGCTTGTTTATTTTACGCTCTAGCTGAAAACACAGTTTTTTTTGCAGCTTTTCAGTAGTACCAGCAAAGCGATAAAGTGAACTTGTGTAATAACCTTGCTTTGAAATCTTGGCTTCTCTAATTAAAATCGTACATTTTGTTAGGTTCTTAAAAAAACGTGCTCTAAAAAAGTTTGAAGCCTTTGAACATAAAGGAAAAAAAAATTCAATCCATTTTAAGTTATCAAGATGCAGATTTATTACAAGTTTGTGCTAGGACCTTAATTTAATTTGTATACGAGAGATGCAACAGTTTTTCATTTGCCAGCGTGCTAATGTTTCATTTTGAGATTGAATTATTTTCGTAAACTCAAGAATTTGACGTTGATCGAACAGATAAGCACGATTTAGCGCTCGGAATAAAAATCCAGCTTTTTATTTGGAGCTTGAGCAGAAAGGCAGCGTTTGGGCTTTAACCTAACAAGTTTTGCAAAGCAATACAGCAACAGGCCTCATGTTTTCCAACATCGCTTCCTCATGTGTGAACCGTGCAGACCTGAGTCTACATCTCTGCACTGTCTTCCTGTTTACTCTGATACAAAAAAACAAGAGTTTTCGAGGTAACCCCCCCCCCCTCAAAAAACAAAACAAACAAAAAAAAAAGAGCTGTCACTCTCCAACGGGGGTAAACGTCAACCTTTATGGACATCGACAACACAGTGTTTTGCTCTATTTGAGCTTTTGCTCTCTGGTTGAGTAACATTGTCAAACCCTTGTTGAGTATTTGGTGTAACAAAAGTTGTGATCATCTGTGCTTCAGTTCAGATTGTGTTTCCTGCTGCTGCGTCCTAAACTATTTGGCATCTTTTCTGTTGCAAAAAGCTGAACGATCGCTTTTGTTGTGTGAGCAGCTCATTGAGAGTCTTGACAAGAGCAGGCGCGCACACACACACACACACACACACACACACACACACACACACACACACAC